AGATATGTCAGAACCTGGGCAGTGTGAGGCTCTGCCTCTCCTCTTACAGAACAATTACAGGAGCAGGAACACCCAGCCTAATTAAATCAAGTTTCACCAGCAATTTCCATTACCCACATGTTGTATCTCACCAGGCATCCCCAGCTTGGAAGTTTTTTCCTCTGAAATATCCAATTCCCCTTAGCCAGCTGCATTTTAGTTGGGTTTGTTCTTCCCAAGTGCACTAAGTGATTTTTAGGGTGACATTTATGGGCATTGTGGACAGACTACTTTTGAGCAGATGTTTGTGTGAATGCCATTGACCTTTACATTTCTTAAATTTATTCATTGAGTTCATTAGTTGTTTAAACAGTTGTTCATTAACTTAAAATTCCAGCACATTTCTTAGATTTTTTTTTATATTACTACCAACATGGGAAAATATTTTTCTGGTTTAGGCATATATTTTAGAAATAATTAACTTCAATACTGCTGATGATAACAATATTATGATGATAGAAATAACATAAATAAAGGAATTAAGTACTACAGCATGATTTAAAATTTCAACTGGGAATTATATAAAAATTATTTCTTAAGCTCACCTGCAAAGAGTTCTAGTTTTTCAGCATTTTTGTGATGTTATTTTGTAGGGAGACCAATACACCTCAGATTACCCCACCCCATTCCCTATTTCAGGTGAACTTTGCTTGCAACATGCATCCAGTTAATTTTATTTTTTGTATTTAGGGCTGACCTCATTTTATACCATCAACCTTAGTATATAAAACCAACTAAATGACAAGAAACTCAATCACTTTTTTGGTCACCATAGTGGATTACAGATTGTCACCCCAGTGGTGTTTCCAGCCCTTCTTGCAACAAATCAATACCAGAATTCAGCCACCCTATTCCCATGACAAGTTCTAATGAAATTTTCTTTGCCAAGAGTAATGGTTTGTGCTGCTGGAGAGTGACCAGGCCATTCATTCAAATATTCAAGCACTGCTAGAAGGTCTGGTAAAAAGAAAGAAAAACAAACAAAGAGGAGAGCTCTTGAAGGATGTAAGGAAATTGCAACTTGCATGGCACTGTAACTTGGGCAGACTGGAATCTCTCAATTCAAGTTTTTCCAAAATGCTGGAAAAATGAGGAGGCCGTGTTTGGTGCTTTTTTATTGGGAACAGGAAATCAAAGTTTATTGCCAGTGAATCAGCTCAATTATGGCTGAGCTGACTCCATGATTAGAAAGGGAAATTAAAGATGCCAAAAAGAGGGTGCAAAAGTTGGTTATGGAATGGTGGCAAGGAAAAAATAGTTGGATTCTGATCATAATCCACTGACCATGAAAAGTAGATTTCATTGACCATTTGAACTACAATGGTCACAGACATGAAATTGTAGTTAAGCAGTAAAAATAGCTAACTTTATAAGATTTCTCTCTTACCATTTTTGTTTACAAAACCCACCAAAAATAATCAAAAAGGTTGAATTTTTTGGTTTGGTGTACTTTTTTTTAAGGTAGGCACATATTAACAATATTATGTATATTAAATTTTAAACACCCACCCTATGGTTGGGTGTTTGTGGACAGACACTTTTATGTTCCTCTATTTCATACGAGGCAGCACTTGTGGGAGAAGCAGATGTGAGCACAGCCAGCATCTATCTCTGTGGGTGCTGGTGGGACACACACACCTGGGACAGGCCATTCCAGCCTCTCCTGGCACAAAAATACTCATCTGGAGTTGCTGTAGCCACTGCAGTTTTGACCAGCTGGTCCCAGAAAGATGATGGAGAACTCCTGTGTGGGGGTCACACATGGCAAGGTGTAAAAGACCACTCCTGTGACAATTCCTGCCTGATATTTTAGGAAAGTTTGAAGCAAAATTACCAACTCTACCTGGAGTAATTTTATATCCCTTATGAGTTGCTTCTCCAAGAAATCAAATAGATGAATCCAGTAAAAATTATTGTATGTACAATATATCCATCGATGAATGAGTGTTATCAGTGCTTGAACTGCTGAGTCAGGTGTTAAGTGCACATTTAATGTCAGATTCCTTGGCTTCTGCTTTTACACTGGGTGAGGATCAAACCTGCAGTTGCAGCTGCTTGGAATTAAGCAAAATGTTTTTCCTTTTTCCTGTTCTTTAAAAATGGGGAAATCATTATGATAACCACAAACAGCAGCAGTGAATTATGCAATGTGTTGGTGAAGTACTCTTGACCTTTTCTTCTCCTCTGCTTACCTGCATTCCCTAGTGATGCTTTTGGCCACTCATTTAATCAGTCATTGCTGTTAGACACTAGGGGATGATAAGAAAGAAATCATCATGAAGAAATCACTATTTAGAAAAATACAGAGAGATTTGAATATGAAGCACACTCAGAGAAGTACTTACATTCCTGTGCCTAATCTGCAGAACTTCCTTCTCCACGAAACAGAATAATTGTGTTAGAAACAAAAGAAAATAATTCTATTTTTTTGTTTTGTTCTAAAGTTCTGCTGAGAAACCTGGCCTTAAAGGCCTTAAGTCTTGCCACCCTACTTCTTTCCTTTAGAGATTCACTTCTTTATATTAATGACTCCAGTTCTTTATATTAATGTCTCCCTGAATATAATTTGTGTTTTTCTTCCATTTGAGAACCTTTGGGAAAGAATAAGGATAACCTGTCATGGGAAAGTGATGAGATAATTGCTTATGGGTCTATGGCTACCAAAACTATGAGACATAGATGTTGAACAATCTGGAAATTCCTTTTCTACTCAAACTAGAGCAGAAAGAAATGTGGCACATTTAAGGTCATGCTGGATGGGGCTCTAAGAAAAGTGATGTGGTGGAAGCTCTCCCTGCTTATTGCAGGTGGGACCAGATGGCTTTTAAAGGTCCCCTTCAACCCAAACCTTTCCATGACACAAGAGAGCAAATCCGAATGTCTTGTTCATTTGCAAACACCTGGGAGTTCTGCCCAAATCTCCCTGAGCTGAAGGGAAACCACGGCAGCAGGAGCAGGACTGAGAGGTGTGACCAGATAAATGCTGCTGCTGCTGAGCCAAAGAACTGGGATTTCCTTGGGGACAGCCTGGGAGTCACTGCTGCTCCTCAGGATCATCTCGGGCACGTGTCAGCCCATCTGTGTTTACTGTGTAAGTGATTTTGGAAGCTTTACTGCTCTGTGCATTTGCCTTTGGACAGGATTCAGCTCTTTTCGTTTGACACTTCAACTGTTTTTATCTTGAACATTCTCATGAATTTTTATTAAGGAAAACTCTTGGGGAGAGGAGTTGAAAGACAAAAACGGGGACCCGAGTGGCCTTGAGACTGAAAGATTAGAGAGAAATGGCAAAGCCTTTGGGAGAGCTGGGAGCTCTACCAGAGGGAGCCTCAAGAAGTTATGAAAATTGGCAACATTGTGAGAAGGGATTCTCTGTGTGGTTCTTACTGCTCTTTGACTTTATCACAACTAAAGCAAACTGGTGCAAACTTGAGTTTCCCTTGCTCCTGTTTGTTGTCAAATTTGAGAAATGATGCTAAAGGCAGCAGAGGTAGAGCAGAGTTCTGTGGTGAGAGGCTTGTCAGACAGGAGACATGGCCACAGATGGAGGCAGGAGCAGCCTGTGGAGAACTTGGCTGATGGATCCAGATTGTACCAAGAAAACTCATTCAGCTTTGAAGTTTTATAAAAATACAGCCTAGGGCTGGAGCTTTCATTGTGTAATGAAGAATCAGTTGTTAAAACAAAAACATGGATTCCAGAAGTGACTGAAAACTTAGGAGTTTCTGTATTAAGAGAGAAAAGTGTTATCTGTAGGATATAGCTGTCTTACTGGAATTAGACATTTAATTCAACCAGGATTGTTTTATGAAACTGTCATGACAACCTGAACAAAAAGTAGTGATTGAAATATTTTTCAGTTCCACAGTTCTCAGTATACTACAAATCTGGACTTTTTTGTTGTTGTTAGGGTTTTGGTTGGTTTGTTTTGGTTTGTTTCATTTGTTTGTGGGTGTTTATTTTGTGGGGTTCTTTGTAACTTTTTCTTTTCCTAAAAAGGGCTTGGATCAAGAAAGAGCTTTGGGAGATGGGGAGAGGCTTTTTTTGACCTTGTTAGTAATTGTGCTTGGAGAAGAGAGTTGCAGAGACTGTAGGAGGAAGCAAAGGAAGGAGAGTGGTCTCTGGGAAGCTGCAGCTCCTGCAGGGAGAGCACTGAGCAGATCAGAGAGCAGAAGGGAAGAGAAAGCAAAGGTGTGGTGGGCAGAGTTTTCCAGGGGCCAGAGGCCACTGTGGAGAGTTCACTGCAGCTCATAAAGTGCTGAACTGCCTGAAGCTCAGATAGAAAGAAATGCTCCAGAAAATGCAGCAGAAAAAGAGGTCTTGTGTATAAACTACTTTTATTTTTGTTCTTTCTGAGAGCATAGCATGAAGTTTTCTCTAAGAGAAAGCAAACCCCAACACAAAACATCCAACACCAACAACCTACTAGCTCATATTTTAAGTTACACCCGGGCTTTGGTGCCTAATGTGAAGTTACAAGCTCTTGGTGTTTATTGAGAGTTCATTACCTGTGGACTGTGTTTGCAAATTCACTCTGTTCTGTTTGATTGAAAGCCTGGGCTGAGAATTGACTGAGCATAGATGATGTCTACCATCATTTATATCTTTAGAGAAAATTCTCTAAAGACATTTGGAGTGTGGCTTTTTACTGGTCTTGTGCAAGTATTCAAGGTAAACCAGACCTTGCTAAAACCTTATGATTTAAGCAGTTATCAGTTTAGGATTATAGACACACTTGCATCAGTTTTTAACTTGTTTGCATGAGTACAAAATGAATGTGGTCTGTCTACTGCCACTGAAATAAGTGCAGTAACCTGAAAGATTAAATAGGTGCTTTGATATTTATCATTAATTGCTGAAAAATATATAAAACTAAACTTAGAATCTGGTGGTTCATGGTAATTTTGCCTAAATGTGAAGGGAAAGGGAATGTTTTATTAATAGGTCTTTTTCTTTTTTAGGAAATCTTAAAACTAGAAGGCAACCTTGGAATTCCAAGACAAAAAAGGGCTATTTTGGCAACTCCAATATTAATTCCTGAAAATCAAAGACCTCCGTTCCCCAGATTAGTTGGCAAGGTAAGTCAACAAAACTGGATCAAATTTTGATATTAAGTAATTGATCTCTTATAGTTTTGCAGTGCCTATCACTGCAATATTACTGGTAGTAATATTCCAGATTTCTTCCTACCCTCTTCCATCCTTTCTGCTTGTGAACACTGAATTTTTGGATCTCAGGCAGCCTGAGTCTCTCTGTAGAAGTTCCTTTCTTTCATTAAGAATTTTTTATGGGTAGTTTAAGATGGGAATTGTGGTAACTGAGGCTCCTCGGGCACAAAGGGACAAATCAGGCCCTGTTTGTGCTGCAGTTTTCCTGGCATCTTGTCATCCTGACTTGTTCCTGCTCCTGAAGTGCTGCTTGGGGATCACAAGTGCCTTAGAGGATGTACAAAGACAGAAATGTGAGAGCATCTGGAAGGTTCTTTTTCAAAGGCCCCATTAAACCTGTCCTCAGGTTTAATGTTTAATGTTTAAACTATAGGGACTGCAAATGATCAGCGCCTTGAAATACTTGGAGCTGTCATAATTTTTACAATATTTAATTTTTTTTTTTTTCAGCAAAGCTCTAATTTAGGTATTCAGATAATTAATTTGGCTGGAGTATATTGCAAACAGAAAGAGAGATTATGCGTGTGTTGGGGAGACAAACATTTTAGAGATATTTAAAATAATGGAATGACATATTCTAGGTCAACTGTGGTAATTTGCAACTGAATGCTGAACAGAGCATAAATAAAAATGTTTGGAGTCTCAGACATACTGATTGTAGGGAAGAAATTCAGACAAAATTGATGCTGAGAAGAAAAGCAGTTACTTCAGGTCTTTTTGACTTGTCACAAATCGTCATAAGAAAGGCTGTGAGGTGTTGCTATCTCCAATGAATGTCTGTACTAACTCAGAGTGCTGGTTCCTCTACCTGCTTCAGGTCCTGCACAAACTGGAGAAAAAGTTGTTCATCTCCCTCCCTTAAATGTAGATATTTATCGTCAACTTTCCATAGCTTCATGAATTTTAGAAAATTCACTTAGTTGCCCACTTCTGTGAGGTGTGAGGAACGTGTTTATTTCCTCTTCCAAGATATTCTGGGGGTCATCTTCAGGAGCCTTGCAGGGCACAACCTGGACTGATGGATCACAGCTCCTGCTGGGCATTGGTTTTCCCTGAACCTCAGCTTTGCCATCTCTGCTCTGCTGTAATCCCTGCAGAAGGACACTGCAGATTAGCTGTGGTTTCTATGGTGTTTTGGAGAAGCAGCAAAACATCTAGAGAATGAGTAATTTGCATGTTATAACAGGATTTCAAAAGTGAGAAGGAATGTGAAGCTTTCCTGCCTGCATGAAATGGGTGACAGTGATAATTTCAGACATGACTTGTTCTGTGTGGTACCACCATGTGATCCTGTCTGGATGTTCATGTGGCAGTCAGCTTTCCAGTGTGTTATTTTCCCTTTCTTTCTTACTTCCCCTTCCTTTCCCCTGCTTTAGCAAATTACCAGTGTGGTTTATTAATGTGTCCTGACTTCCTCTTGCTTTCCACCCCATGCTGTGCTGGCTGGAATTGCACAAGGTTGTTTGGAAGTGACTGCAGCAGCCAACAGGTGAAATGCTGATTAACACCTAGTGGGGAGCAGGGCAGATGTATGGAAAGAGGAGAGCAGGGGGGAACAATTAATTGAGTTTTATTTCACAGTTAGGAAACAATACCATAAAGGAAAAAAAAAGTAATTTGAGAGGACTCCTTCATGAGGTTTTGTTATATATATATATATTAGGAAGGAGATACTGCACAAGTGAAAACAGTGTTTTGTTCAAATTAATTATAAGAATTCCAATTAGTATTTAGCTTAACAAGGAAGTACACGTGTTGAGCCTGTTCTCTGTGCTGTTACTGGCTCTCCAGTGTCCCCACTCAGGAATTGGATTATTGCCTTGCCATTTCCACACTCTTCACTAGGGTAGCTCTTAATTAAATAACTGTCCTGGACATGCTGTGTTTGTAGGTGGAGAAGTCTCACCTTTTAGCAGGATTTAAGCTTTTGCATATCATGCTTTGTGCCTGAGGGAGAACACTGAGATGAAAACATTTTAATACAACCTTGGTAATGTGGGCCTTTGTGACCAGATGGCCCAGGCTACAACTCTTGACTGTTATTGATGGGTTTTGTTTAGTCTTGCTGATGGGGCACTGGGATATGATATTGAATTGTTAGTCTCTCTCCATATGTTACTTTTCCAGTTTATTTGTCCACATGAAGTCAAATGAAGTACAAAACAGTGGGATGCAGGATTATTTTGTACTTCCTCTGGCAGGTAATTCTGCACTACCCCATGGAAATGTTTTCTAAGACTAGCTTAGAGTGGTGGTTCTGTGCATCTACAAACCAACCTTTTGACACTCTTTAACTGATGATGGTGCTTTTTGAAGTTTAACCATCACACTAATACAGACCCCAAAGAGCACAAAGGGAATTGTGGAGATGCTCAACAAGTCCCAGCTCTTTTTCCACACATCAGGAGAGAAGGACACCTGCAAAGTGAGACTGTGTTTATCCAAGCTCAGAGTATTTGCTCTTCGTGTTATTGATGGACAAATGGCAAATCAAGGATTCTGTTCTTCAGTTTAAAGGAATTGTCCTGCATAAGAATGAGTATTGCAATTGTTGGCATGTAAAATCTGGAAGCCATGAGTGGTCTGGTGAAAATTGGCAGGACAATTTATGCTCAGTGAAGGGCAGAACACAGAGAGAGGTATGCAGGAGTCTTTGCAGGAAATGACTGAATAAATCAAAACCAAAACTTTATTTTTTCCCCATAAGAACTTTTTTGTTGTTGTTTTTTGTCTGTTTTGTCTTTTGGAAGGAGGGTGGGGATGGATCAGGTGTTTTGGATCAGAAACTTTCTATACTTCCTGCCTCTGATCAGGCTGTAGCTGCAGTTACATGGCAGGACTGACCCCAGCAAAAGCTCAAGACTGGAAGTGGTCCAGGCTTGCAAACAGGATAAAAATCTTTAAGATCTATAAGGAAGTGGGGTTTTTTTCCCTCCTCTGAGATGTGAATTTAAAGCAAGGAGCAAATGCATCTTGTCTGTTAAAGCAGCAGTAGAAAAATACTTAAAGAGGGGAGGAAGCTGAAGAAAACTGGATGTAAAAAGCTTCTGGAAGCTGCTATTTTTGAGTGGCTATCTTAGTGCAACTATTTATATACAATAAATTACATACTTCACAGAAGAGAATTGTCATGGACTAAAGAAGCAGCTGTAAAAAATGTCAAACTTCAGGCAAAGAATTCAAGTGTCAAAAGAGATGGTCATGATCTCTCAGCCTGGGAAGAGAACCTAGAGAGAAGGTTTAGAGGTTAGAGGAAGACATGAGAAATACAAGAGAGGAGCAACAGTGAAATAAAAGCTGAATTTAGAATTTTTTTGGTACCACTAGAAAATTAAGCAAAAAATGAGAGGAAGTCTAAAGAGAACTGGAGGAGGAAAGGACCTGGCAAGGATGGGTGTCCAAGTCTGGAAATAATGGTGTGTGCTCACAGAGAAGAGAATGATGTGCAGAAACCTCAAAACCCTTCCAACACCACGAGAGAGATCTGTGTGAGTGCTTGTCAGCTGCTTTGTTGGGAAAGGTCTGGATCCCAATTACTGGCCTGAATCTTTGCTTGAATTACTAAAAATGATGTGGAAACAAGAGAATGTATTTCTCATGATGGAACAAGAAATGGGGTCCACAGGAAAAACCGACTGGATTTTTAAAATTAATTTTTGAATATACAATTGCTTGTTTTTAAATCATTGCCACATCAAATGCAATGGTTGTGCTGTGCCAGAGTTTGGCCAGAAAAGAGGAAATGGTCATCAGCAAGAATTTTGACTTGTCCAGAAGACAAGAATGTTGTGGTGACAGCTGAAGAAGTGGGTGAGGAACTTTTTCAGAGAGAAGATGGAATTGCAGACACACAAGGAATTCTGATTCCTTGAGTAAGTCTGATGATGTATAAGGAGATCATTCTGCTGAAGTATGTCTACAATTCCATGTGGGAAAGGCATCTCCACAGATGAGGATATAGAAACATGAAGCAAACAAGGTAGAAAAGTGTACAGGTGGAAAGGTGTTATTTATGAATAGCACTTAGGCAATAAATAAAGCTCTTTGAAATCCATCAAGAAACAAAGATTGGGTTTAGAGAAAAAAATCAAGTTATGGTCTAGGATTGAGCAGAAATATATATGAGCTCAATTTGCTCGACCTAGCAAAAGCATTTTCTGTAAATCCAGATGATTTAAGTGAAAGGAATACGCTGGTGTAATAACTAATGGATATAAATTTTGGCATAAGAGTAAAAGAAAAGTTTCTGATACCCAAAGAAGAGGAATGAATTTCCAACAGCTGTACTGAAGAGGAAATACAAAATTTGATAAATACGTGATCACAGTTGCTTCTGATCCTGACAGAACAGACACCTCGAGTTTTCCTGCTGCTCTGGTGTTCCTGAAAATGTGCAAAGCCCTGCTGAGCTGGGACTGAATGGGTGGCTGGAGGTGTCAGAGTTTAACATCTGATTAAATTCATGGCTTGCATGGAGGAATGGCACACTCCTGACCTTCAGGAAAAAATACCAACCTACCTCAGCAATGAAAGTAATGAAAGGAGCAGCACTCCATTAAATTAAAGAGCTTTCATTGCAAGTACATGAATTATTAAGCTACAGCATATTAATTCTCATTAAACGATATGTATTTGATGTCGTAACAAACCATTAAGTGAAAACAGCACTTCAGATTTTGTCTCTTTTTCTGAGAGGTGTCTCTTCAACTCTCCCTTTTTTAAGAATACTGACATTCACATCAACAATTCCAACAGAACACATTTGTTTTCTTTCAGCTAATAGAATTTTATTGGAAAAATTTGTTAAAATACACCTGTTTACTTTAGACTTTCAGAAGAATCACACATGAGTTGCAAATGCCTTGGAAAACTGGAAAATAACAATTTACCATTATTTTTAAGTGTTTAGT